GAGATGTCTCTTACAGATTCTGTGCACCCAGGGCAGTATGGTGTAGTGAAATATAAATCTTTAAAAAAAACTGAAAAAAAGAAAAATGTCTCTTACAGATTCTGTGCACCCAGGACAGTATGGTGTAGTAAAGAGACTCAGGCAGTCCATTTATTAAATGACTGCTATGTAGACTAAAAGAAATATACAGTTAGTCCTCACTTTTCAAAAGGTCACATTAGACCGCCTCACTTTTATGAATGACCTACATTAGTACCTGTTCTCACTAACCAAAGGAAATCTGAAGATTTTCACTTCCACAAAAAAAAAAAAAAAAAAAAAAAAAGTGAAAATGGCACTCAGTGTTTGTTTCGCAGTGAGCATTGAGGCAGCATGCACATGGAGCAGTGAGAGTGTCCCTGCCAAGTTTCTTCCCTGAGATCTATGCTAAAATTTAGGTAAGATTTTTCCTAGAAAGACCTTATATTTATTGAGCCCTTACTATACGCCTACCCCTGTTCTAAGTTCAAGTGTATCAGCTTATTTGATAATGACACCAGCTTTAAGATGCCAGTGCTACTGGCTGTTATTAACTCCATTTTATAGACGGAGACACTGAGGTTCAGAAATCCTCAGAGATGTGAAGTAACTTGCTGTAGGTCACACAGTAAAGAGAAGAAGGGCGGTATTTCAAGCCCAAGCAGTCTAGCACTAGAAACCAACATTTTTAACTGCTATAGTATAATGCCTCTATGGTTTACAGGCTCCCGAGGAGCAAATGAATCAGTGCGTATGAAAACACTTTTGTGAGTTGTGAGACACAATGCACTACTGTTACTTGTAGTGGACAATCAATAAATGGTTTAGCTGAATTGTTTGGTGGCACAAAAAGTATTTATACTTACATTGTAATGATCCTTGGTACTTTTCAAAGTGCTTTCACACATTTGATCTCTCAGGATAATAAGCCACTTTGAATCCATTTTGGAACAAGGCTGGTCATCAATACATGTGGGGCCACTGAAGTTACAGGCCCAGAGATGGGAAACACCTTGCTTACAGCAGGAAGTCAGTAACCCAGTCAGGACTGGCACGCGAATGATCCGACTCCTGGCTGATGCCTCTTTGGTTTTGTCCTTGGTTTTTGTTGTTATTATTTGTTAAATTGAACATATGAGTTATTAGTAATAAACAGAACTATACAAATAATTATCCTTTCTCCCAGCTGTTTTTTCTTCCTACAGGTTTTGCTAATTCTTTCAAGATGTTGCTGTATAAAAATAAAAATCCCCTGGGGTGCCAGTCTGAAGAGCATATGACTCTTGATCTCAGGGTCCTGAGTTCCAGACCCACATTAGGTATAGAGTTTTACTAAAAAAACTAAATAAACTTTAAAATAAATAAATAAAAACAAAGATCTCCTTTAGGATTTGGATTTGTACAACTGCATTATCTTTTTTTTTAAGATTATTTATTTATTTATTTGACAGACAGAGATCACAAGTAGGCAGAGAGGCAGAGAGAGAGAGGAAGGGAAGCAGGCTCCCCGCTGAGCAGAGAGCCTGATGCGGGGCTCGATCCCAGGACCTTGGGATCATGACCCGAGCCGAAGGCAGAGGCTTTTTTTTTTTTTTTTAAGATTTTATTTATTTATTTGACAGACAGAAATCACAAGTTGGCAGAGAGGCAGGCAGAGAGAGAGTGGGAAGCAGGCTCCCCACTGAGCAGAGAGCCCGATGTGGGGCTCGATCCCAGGACTCTGGGACCACAACCTGAGCCGAAGGCAGAGGCTTTAACCCACTGAGCCACCCAGGCGCCCCACCGAAGGCAGAGGCTTTAACCCACTGAGCCACCCAGGCGCCCCACCGAAGGCAGAGGCTTTAACCCACTGAGCCACCCAGGCACCTCTGTACAACTGCATTATCTTATAAGAACTTTTTTCCAAAAGGCAAGTCTTTTTTCCCCCCAAAAGTACAGCATGCTCATTGCAAAACCAAAATGTAATAAAGTAAAAATCCTCTCTAATCCCACCATCCAAAGATAACCATTTTCACATTTTAGTTTTGTCCTTCAACTTTTTTCTGTGTACATACACACTTTCTACAATATTATTATAATGCCATTTTGTAATGTTTTTTCTAATTTGTCATACCATGATAATAAAGATAAAACTAGAGGTTCAGTTTTATTGGCAGCATAGCATTCTGTTTTATTGATGTGCTGTAATTTATCTGAAACTGAGGATTATGCTTGACTAGACAGGGAGTAAGTCTTCCCAAACTTTAATGGCTAGCCACAGAAACCAAAGCTCTTAGGATAATGATGACTATGCTCTCTACTGGGTCAATTGCTTTTATTTTTTGTTGCATTGGAGGAGTTTGGTAATTATAAATATAAATAAAAAGATACACGGAGGGAGTTTACATTTTATACTGTCTGTCATGTTCTCTTTAATGCTCTGCCACTTGGCATGGTACTAGAAAAGTTCCTGCCTCTTTCTTAGGAGGATAGTTTAATTTTTCTTTTGTGGTTTGCAGTGGTAAACACTTAAATTCAAGCTCAAAGCAAATTTTTGTGATGTTGCAAACAAAATACCTTAACTGCTTTGTAACCTGCAAGGTTTTTTAAATTTTTATTTTTAAAAAGATTTTGTATATTTATTTGTCAGAGAGAGAGAGATAGCACACAAGTAGGGGGAGCGGCAGACAGAGGGAGAAGGAGGTTCCCTGCCGATCAAGGAGCCAGTTGCAGAACTCGATGCAGCGGACCCTGGGATTATGACCTGAGCCAAAGGCAGACGTTTAACCAACTGAGCCACCCAGGTACCCTCCACCCAAACTGTTCTTAACGTGTTCATGCCTAGCTATACTTTCAGAGGAATATTTGTAGTGACATCACCATGTTCTCTAGTTTTATGCTACTACTGAGTAGATGCATGATCCAAGGCTGCACTGTACAGTAGTGCTTTGGGGGGTATGAGGCAACTGAATTCCATAAGCTTTCTGTTCCTCAGACCATTTGGACTGATTCTACCTTGAGTGTGGATGTGGGGGGTGGGTGGGTGTGTACTCTTTTCTAATTCAGAAGGTGGCACCATGTAGCAGAATCCCAATGTGGGAGGGGCTGGGAGGTCTTTGAGTAACACTTTCTGTGAACCTCAGTCTCATTTTTTAAAAAAGATTTTATTTATTTGTCAGAGAGAGAGCGAGAGCGTGCACAAGCACAGGACAGAGGGATAAGCAGGCTCCCCGCTGAGCAAGGAGCCCTGGGGCTCTATCCTAGGCTCCTGGGATCATGACCTGAGCCAAAGGCACCTGCTTACCTGACTGAGCCACCCAGGCACCTCTGTCTCGTTATTTGTAAAACTAAGTTACCTATGCTTGTCTAGTCTGATTTAGCAGGTTGGTGGGAGGGTCAAATTAGAAAATTAGGAAAATGCTTTTATAACCAATGTGGTATCAATACTTAATAATAAAAAAAGGTTATTACTATTATCATGCCCCTGGGCTTTGTTTCCAGTCTCTTCGTAAGTCCTAGTAGTTCAGGAGTGAAATTGTATAGATTGACCGCCTCAATTCAGTCTTTTTTTTTTTTTAAGATTTTATTTATTTGACACAGAGAGAGAAATCACAAGTAGGCAGAGAGACAGGCAGAGAGAGGAGGGGAAGCAGTCTTCCTGCCCAGCAGAGAGCCTGATGTGGGGCTTGATCCCAGGACCCCTAGATCACGACCCAAGCCGAAGGCAGAGGCTTAACCCACTGAGCCACCCAGGCTACGCCTCAGTTCAGTTTTTTAAAAAAAGATTTTATTTATATGAAAGAGAGAGAGGAAACAGGAGCAGTGGGGAAAGGCAAAGAAAGAAGAAAACTCCCCACTAAGGTGGGAGCCCTTGAAGGGCTGGATCCCTGGAACCCGGGATCATGATTGGAAGGCAGAGGCTTCACCCATTGAGTCACCCGGGAGCCCCTCCTCAATTCAATTTTTGGAAAATGTTTTGAAATCCCCAAATAAATGTACCTAAGGAAAAAAGCACAACCTCCTGTCTATAACAGGTCCTAAACTCAAGATGTATGGTTAGTGCAGTTTTTTTAAAAAATTTTATTTATTTATTTGACAGAGAAGAGATCACAAGTAGGCAGAGAGAGAGAGAGAGAGAGGAGGAAGCCAACTCCCCGCTGAGCAGAGAGCCCGATGCGGGGCTGGATCCCACGACACCGGGATCATGACCTGAGCGGAAGGCACAGACTTTAACCCACTGAACCAGCCAGGTACCCTTGGTTAGTAGTTCTTTTTGGCATCCAGCCAGGTGCAGTACTTTATTCATTTTCAGGACTACTTTACTGCCAATCTACCTGAAGGACTTTAGTTTAGGTAGGTCACCTTTCCCTTAAATGGGCCAAGGTATCATGACCCTCTTTACTGTTCACTTGGAAAATATTTGAGTCAGGTGTTAGTAATTATTTATCAAGCCAGGAACTGTCGCGGTAGACTGTCTTTGGCTCAGGTCATTAGTTGTTGGAGAAATGGTCAGAAAGCCCACTCTGGAAGGGTTTTAACCCTCACTAGTCCAAATCCTTTGTTTTTACATATGAAGAAACTGAAGCACTGAGAGTTTAAATGACTTGTCCAATGCAGGAGGTTGAGCGATGGTACTGGAACTGGAATCCATTCTAATGTATCATTCTCTAATCTAATCTAGAGAATCCGAGACCACTTGGAGCATGTTCCCGAAGTTAACCTAGAGAGAAAGCTAAGGTCTCAAACACAATAGAAAATAGTTTGGGATATTTGTGCATTAAGTCCCAGCGGCCACCTGCCTCGCCTCGTCCACTTCCTCAGCCACCTTGGTAGCCCCGCCCTCTTCAGGTGGCCCCGCCGCTTCCTGGTATGCCCAGCCTGCTCCTCCCCCACAAGCGGAACCAATATTCGGAGGCTTCCAGGGTCAGCCGGATCTTTCTCTCTCAGACTCTTCGCAGCGGTGACTCGGCAGCAGCGTCTCGCGTCATCAGTGACCGCCCCGTACCTTGCTACGCTTTGCGTCGCTCTGCCAGGAGCAGTCACCTCCTCCTTGGCAAATAGTCCTCGGCGGGGTCCGAGTTCTTGGATAATAGGAGAGAGGGGGCACAAGAAGTTGCAGCCAGGGAACACGGAATCGGCAAGAAGAGGAAGACAGGGACCACAGTTTCTGCTATACTGTGTGAAGTTAGTTAAAAACTTCTTCCTTCCTAAAAGGATCCTTCCGCCTGCAGTCGCGGTGGTGAGGCCGAGGGAGCCGCCATTTTGGATGTTCGGTTCCTGCTGCCACTGCTGCCGCCGCCCCCGGAGCTGCTGGTTTCATTCGAGGTTTCGGGCCGGTGAGTGTCACTCGCGGCGCTGAGAACATATTGCTTCTTTTGCCCCATGCCTGCCGGCAGCGCTCGGCCGGAAGCTTTCTGTCAGTACCAGAGGTCCGGTCCTGGGCTTTGGGGGGTGAGAAGAGAGGACAGAGGCTAGCCCAGGAGGGGCCCGGAGCCCCAGGGGCTGCTCCGACTTCTTGAGGGCCAACCCGAGGCCTCGGACAAGGAGGCTCCGCGCGCCGCTGTCTTCTGTGCTGTGGCCTTGCCCGGCCGGTGCGGGCCTCCTTTGGACCCATTGACTTTCTCGGGCTTCGATCCTCTTTTGAGGGCTCATTCAGGGAGCCTGGGGTTAGCGGGGCGGGTCCCACCCCCGCGTGTCTTCTCTGAGCCACGTATCAGCGTTCTTGTATCTTGTATTCAGGTCATGTCTTTCGTAGAACTCTCTTTAGCTCCTCATAATGCTCAATTAATCGCTGTCTGCTCTGCAGTGCCGTCCTCTCAGAACCGGACATTGCCCTCGCCTCTCTCTATCCTTCCAACCAACTTCTTTCCCAATTTTTAGGGTCCCTCCCCCACTCCCTAACTCAGCTGCGAGTGCCCTGCTTACCCTTCTCTCAAACTCTTGATCTTGCGGACGGCAGTTTCTAATAATTCTCCCTATTTTCTTGACTGTCTGGAAGAGTCGGGACGATTGGTTATGTTTCCCTGTTAGGGTTTGATGAAGGAGAGCCATCGAACCACTCGCTTAGAGTATACTTCAGCAGTAAATGTTTGGAAAGCTGATTAAATGGCTTTGGGGAGGGGTGTAGGGAGGAGACTGTCAAATGTTTTCTCATTGTGAATTCTCTCCTTGTGCTGAAGACTTGGCTTTTTGGTGCTTATTGACACTTATGTATTTGTCTTGGTGTTATATATCCCTGGGCATGAAAATTGCCCGAGAAGGATCTTAATCCGACGTCGGCAGAAAGGGAAGTTAACTTTTTTGGCTGTTGTAAGGATTAGTTTAACAGAGGAGAGGAGTGAAGATTTCTTAGTGATCTTAACTTGCAGGTTATGATCTTTGCTGACTGATTCTGAAAAATACTTAAGTTGACTGTGTGTTGAATTTTTTGGGGGGGGGGGTTAGTTGAATTTTGAATATTCACTTCTGCTGTTCTCCCATAATACTTGTCAGACTATATACCTTAAGTTTTGGTTTAAAAATATAGCCTCTCCAGGTATCTATAATCTCACCACTTTTATGCTGTTCTTAAAGTATGTTTGCATTATGGCATGCTTGAATAAAAAGTATTTCACAGTAATTCACTGATTATTTCCTACATTTCAAGTTAGGCGAGTGTGATTGAATCACCTCTATTTCATCTCAGCTTGGGTTTTTAAACCCGCTGAAGAGAATTTATTTGAGATTACAGCCTCGTGACAGTTGAAATTTAAATTTGTAACTTAATGGACTCCTGTAGGGGGATGAAGAGGAAAGTGAAAAAAAAAAAATGTATAACTTGAACTTGGATCAAACCTTTTAATACTGCTAATCCATGTCTAAGTGCATTATTCTTATTACCATGTAGATAAATTCCTGTACTGGTCATATGATGTCTCAGTAGGAGACTGAATGTTTTCATTGTAAATAGTGTTCTTGTTATTTAAAGAGACTTTTCAAAATTATGTTAGTGTTTCTGTATTTACTCTCGGGATAGGGAGTTTCTCTTTTGGATAAAGGAACTATCACACCTCTGAACATCTGTGGAATGCTTATTCATTTAATAAATATCCCCTTGTAATTGTTACTGAAATGTTCCATTTCTGAGTTACATTTTTTAAAACAAGGTTATTGGAAGAGCTATCGAGTAGATGTTACTTAACTCTGTTCATTTCGTGGTATAATGTATTGATAGTCAAACATTATTCATTCTTAGGTGGTTTGCATTCGTTTGGAAAGTGTCCTTTTGCCTTACAAATTATAACCAAAATGCTGTTTAGTGCACTGTTGATTGATCACATATTTGAATGTCCAGTTTGTCTAGGGTTGTAGGATTATACTTGAAAGAAACATTATTGTTAAGGAAACTTCAGTTCATTTTCTTTTTGGGAGCAATTTCTTGTTCCTTGATCTGTTTCACTTTTACCAGTTCTAGATTTGAACTAAACGTGAATTTTAGTTTATTTTTTTCGTGAACTCTGCCCCTGACTTGGGGGTCAACCTCAAAAACCCTGAGATCAAGAGTTGAATGCTCTACCAACTGAGCCAGCCAGATGCCCCTTGATATTAGAGTGAAACTATAAAGTACAAAAATTGTCAGCAATACCTTGGTGATAATCTGCCCCCTGTTTATTTTAAAACGTAGTCTTGAAATTAGTGATGTGCAAAAACAAAAGTCCAAGTTTTTTATGATTTATTTATTTGGGAGAGAGAGTGAGAGAGCATGCACACAAGAAAAGCTCGAGAGCGGGTGGAAGGGGCAGAGGGAGAGTGAGTCTCAATGAGTCTCTGCACTGCGTGTGGAGGCCCGTCTTGGGGATCCATCTCACCATCTTGAGATCACAGCCTGAGCTGAAACCAAGAGTTGGATCTTTTTTTTTTTTTTTAAAGATTTTATTTATTTATTTGTCAGAGAGAGAGCGAGCACAGGCAGACAGAATGGCAGGCAGAGGCAGAGGGAGAAGCAGGCTCCCTGACGAGCAAGGAGCCCGATGCGGGACTCGATCCCAGGACACTGGGATCATGACCTGAGCCGAAGGCAGCTGCTCAACCAACTGAGCCACCCAGGCGTCCCCAAGAGTTGGATCTTAAGCCAGCTGTGCCTCCCAGGCACCCCCAGGTTTTTTGTGATTTATTTTTATTATTTTTTTAGAGATTTTACTTATTTATTTGAGAGAGTGTGCACAAGTGAGGGAGCAGAAGGTGAGGGAGATGCAGACTCCCCACAAGCAGGGAGCCCGATGTGGCAATCTGTCTCAGGATCCTGGGATCATGATCTGAGCTAAAGGCGCCCATTAACTGACTGAGCCACCCAGATGACCCCAGGTTTTTTTGTGATTTATTAAAAGTCTATACGTATTGAAAAAGTTGAGTATTTTCCAAAGATTATTTTTAATTTAAAAAAAGTATTAGGAAACTACATACCAAAACAGATTTTCGAAATGCCTAATCCCCTTATTTGCATTTGATGAGGATTTAAAAATTTTGTGTATAAAGCAGGACTTAATTGAAAGCAAAACTTTAAAGCTCTTAGATTTAGCTTCAGAGAATATAAAACTTTTACACCTTTCTATAAACTGGAACTACTTGTTTAGCTATATTTGGTCCTTAAAATTCATTCATTCTCCACTTTATCAGTTGTTGTGAGTTCTTGATTTTGGCGTCTTCATCCCTCTGTTACTTTTACTCAGTTCCTTTCTTGCAGGATTAGGTTTAAAGTAACAACTAATTTTAAAATTAAGAGAACATATAGATTTATTTAGGCTCTCATATTTCTGGGCATATAGGTTTTTTTAAAGTTGTATCTTGGGGCGCATGGGTGGTTCAGTGGGTTAAGCCTCTGCCTTTGGCTCAGGTCATGATCTCTGTCCTGGGATCGAGCCCTCTGTCAGGCTCTCTGCTCAGCGGGGAGCCTGCTTCCCCCTTTCTCTCTCTGCCTGCCTCTCTGCCTCCTTGTGATCTCTGTCCATCAAATAAATAAATAAAATCTTTAAAAAAAAAATAAAGTTGTATCTTTGTCAGAAAGTATTAGGATTTTTCCATTTGCCTTTTTGTATAGAAAATTTTGTATCTGTGAAGACACTCATTTCTGTCTTGAAAATATACATAAGGTTTTTTTGTTTGTTTTTGGGGTTGGGTTTTTTTTTTTTTCCTCCTTCACTGAAGGAGTAACAACACAGTTTGGCATGGAGGAATAATTTAATTTGGCATGAGTCTTGGTTACCAGAACATCTCTTGTCAAAGTTTGAAGGGTCCAGAAGTGAAAAAAACCCTCACACTTGCCAGACTTGTTGAGTCAGCATTAACTAACACTTTTGTATAAAAAGGGCAAGGTGTAAGATACTGTGATTGAAATGAGAAATTATTTTTCATTAGGTACTTGAAAGTTTTGTTTTGTTTCATTTTTTGGCATGCTTAGACAATTGAAGAGAGAAGGTTGAGTTATAAATGTTGTCAGTGAAAAATAGGTTTCAAAAGAAAAAAAAGTAATTGTCTTTTAAAAGATGATGAAAACATATGTGACCTTTGCACTTTATAAAGAAATAAAGACATCTTAAAGGCAAGTAGTTTTTACCTCCTTTCTCTGTTGTTGCAGTGCAGCAATCACAGTGTAACCTGATAGGCAGTTGCGTTGCTCACGCATCTGTCTTGTGTTTTACTGAGCATCCTAGGCTTTTCAGCTTGTTTGGCCTTGCGGTTCATGTTACGGGTTTTGGGGAAGAGCAAATATGTGAAAGACATGATTTTAGATCTTTGGGATTGTAAAATATTTGCACTCCCCTCACAAACCTTTGGTTTAAAAATGAGACTGATTAGAATAGATGATGTACACTATTGGTTAAAAGATCTAACTTTAGTAAATAGTCATATAGTTGTACAACTCAAAAGGAGTTCCATTAGTGTTTTTACAGCTCATTTTAGTGAAGCTGTTTACTAAATGTCACTGTTGGGAAATTATCCCATTTGAAGCTGAAGAAAAGGAAGGGAAGTTAATTTTTAAAAATTCCTTTTAAAGGTCTGCACAAAGGATTTGGTTCCCTTCCCACTTTTTGATATTTTTAAAAACGTGATCCTTTTAAAATATGGTGAAAAGAGGGGTGCCTGGCTCTCTCAGTTGTTAAGCATCTGTCTTCGGCTCAGGTCATGATCCCAAGGTCCTGAGATCGAGCCCCACATCGGGCTCCCTGCTCAGCAAAGAGCCTGCTTCTCCCTCTCTCATGCCCCCTGCTTGTGTTCCCTCTCTAGCTGTCTCTCTTTGTCAAATAAACAAATAAAATATTTTTTTAAAAAATACGGTGAAAACATTGGTTTGAGAATA